GAACTACAAATTCTTAAATTTTATATTAGTCTGTATAGAAAGAGTCATGACTTAAGAAAATATAGTAATTTATATTGAACTTTTCTTGCATTCAGAATCATTAAATCATTAGTTCGTTAAATAAATTATTGATTGTGTATGCATATTTTATAAAACAAAAAGAAAAAAACAATTTTTTTTATGTTGATTCAATAAATAAAAAATTGCCAAAGTTCTATTATACAAAAGCATTTACAATATTGAACTTACAAACCAAAATTATACTAGACGATAATCTATTTGAATACAAAAAATGTTCACGATACTAAAATAAATCATCATTTGAAATTTGAATGTACATTTTTCAACAATAAGTAATTTTTTTATTTCTAAAAGTTTCTAGTATTAACATTGCCGTGAACATTTTTTTGATACAAAATAAATTTTTTTTTATCCAAAAGTCTTCATAGTTTTGAATATAATAGCACCCTATGTAGACTTTTTTTGTTAGTTGCTTCGACATGATAAAAAAATTTTTTTATTTAAATTTACGTAAAAAAAAAAAAATCTAAAGTAAAAAAAACTGCTATCTTTATGACAATGGCGATGATTTTATTTTGTTATTATTGATGAATAATCAGATCCGAAATCACAGCTACCATTTTTACAGACTACGCTAAGGTTGTTGATGATGATCAGGAAAAATTTGAGATTTTAGATTGTCTACTACTTTATATTTTCGATCGGCTATGTTTATTGTGATCCAAGATTTAGCAATAGTTCGACCAAAACTGTTATACAATTGATGTTACTGAATTCTATTGGCATCTGTCATATTTGACATAACTTGTATAGGGTCCATATCTACTATATTTACTATATCTACTAGATTAGTATATTCTATTATGTTTGACATTTCTCTTACTGCTTATTAATATAGGCTAGGTGCTGAGAAAAGGGCCTAAATTGACCAAACCTTTTAAGATTAATTAATTAGCTCAGGAACATTTTAAGAAACAGATACTGTTATTTTAATAAACTTTTGCAGTATAACTCTTTAAAGCATGTATTTTCTTATAAATATGTATTATAGAATTTATAATATAAAAAATCAATTTTTCACAAACCTTTTTTTTGTTAATTTGGGCCTTTTTCTCAGCACCTAGCCATATATTAATATATGTTCAAGATATCAATCCCAAAGATTTGTAGCTTTAGCTATGCATAAATAGTTCTGAAGTCCTTCAAATCGATAGTTATCAGCTAGAGCATCTCATTTAATATTTAATCATGTTTTCATACACAAATAGCTCTAATAAATTATGTTATAAGTCTATTTGTATCTTCACATACATTTAATCGCTTGCCTCTTTCGTAATTGCAAATCACATTAAATCCTCTTGAACGCTAGTATTAATTTATTAGCACAATACACATATTATTTTAAGAACATATGTGAAACATTCAATTATTATTATCCCAAGTTATCCCGTATTTATAAAGAGATAGTTCGGGTGTAACAACTACATCTTTTTGCAAAGCATAATGAATTAAATTCATAAACTTTAATTTTTGATGACTTTTGATTGAATGCATGAATTTATAATAACAAAACAATTACATAAAGCATCAAAAAATTAAATATTCAATATTCCACTCACACATCCCAGAAAAACCCTTGCTATAAACAAGATTGGTTAAGCATTTTTTCATTAT